GAGTTATTCCTAAAAAGACCTCTGTCACCCTGCTCCAGTGTGCATCTAAGATCTCTCTCAGAAGACCACACCTCCTCAGACAACCTTTAGAGAATTTCTCCAAAATTGCCCTACATCAACAACCCCAACCCCCAGCACTTCGTGAGATTTCCTCAAGATTCTCCCTCAGATTCCCCCTCTGATATCCCCAAGAAACCTTATTCAGGACCCTATCAGATTTACCCCTTTTAGAACCCCTATTTATACCCTCTCATTTCCATTCTCTTTCCTCTGAAATAAGCTTAGAGATCTTTCACAGATCTGAGCCTCCTTCCCCTGTTTTCCCTTAATAGGCCCCAAACATCCTCCACACAGCCTCCCCCAAGAGGCTCCATGTCCCCTTTCAATAAAAAGCTCAAGAGACACCCTCACCCTTTGAAATCCTAACCCTCTGAGACCTATCTCTCAGACCATTTTTCTTGGGTTCTATCCTCATAGACCCCCTTCTCCCTTCAGATCCTCCCTTTAGAGATTGAGAGACCCTTAACACTCTCCTTAGAGACTATTTGAGGACTCCCCAATTTTCCTTTCAGAAGCCGCCTCCTTCCTTTTCCCATTTGAGGGCCTTCTCGCTAAAGAATTTCTTCCCCTATAGCAGTAGTCCTTGGAGTGTGCTCCTTGGACCAGCAGAATCTGCATCACCTGGGAACTTGTTAGAAATGCAAATTCTTAGGTTCCATCCCAGATCTACTGAATTAGAAAACCTGGTAGTTGGACCCTCCTAGTGATTCTGATGCATGCTCAAGTTTGAGAACCACCTGCCCTCTAGGAGGATTTCCCTTTCCCCACAGAAAGCCCCCAAAAGATGTCTCAAGGTATGCCTCTGTGCCCTGACACCCACCCCTATTTTCTTAGGAGTACCCTTTGTGAAGTACCCATCCTCTGGACTTACCCTCTTCCAGTGGCATCTGGCTTCTCCACAAGTTTACCCCACCTTCTGAGCAATTACTTCAGAGTCTACCTTTAAATGGTTCCCTTTCGGATCTTTCTCAGCACTTTCTCCTGGCTTCCCCTCCAGCCCTCCAACCATCCCCCCAGCCCTTGGTCCTGCTTCAAATTGCTACCTCCTCAAACACACGTGTCCATCTATTCTCAACTGTTCCTCATCTATCCTTCTCCACATAGGTACCCTCCCCTTAAGGCACCTGCAAGTCTTTTCAGTCTCTGTGTCTTACTGCCAAGAGTCCTTCACTGTACTTCTTAGAGCACCACTCACCTTTTTTGTAGTTTTTCATGTACTTGCCCACTCACCCTTACTGGACTGGGAGTTTGGAAAATACTGGGATGTGGCTCGTTCCTCCCTGACTCGCATTAGGTGGGATCTATCCTCTGTAAGTTATTGAGAATCATTGAAAAATGGGCAGCTCTTCTTGTGTTTGGCTAGAAATCTCTTAAGTTCCTCAGATCTTATTCTCTATTCAGGTTCAACACACTTTCCTGCCCCTTTCTCCCCTCCACTCTACCCAGCCCCTTTTGCCTCTCCTCCAAGGAGAGGCTGTCTGCCCCACCTGCTCCTGTCTGTGGGACCTTTCTTTGTGCTTTCTCCTGATTCTGAGCTACCCAAATCCTATTCCTGCTCTGGGCTCTGAACTTTCTACAAGGGGTTCTATTTCTTTCTAGGGTCGAGAAGAGGAAACAGATCGCAGGGTAAACACTGGGACCTGCCTTCAGGGAGCTCACAGTATAGTAGAGGGGTCAGGCAAGTACATAGGGCAGAACGTGACATACAGATTATATGTTGTGGAAGTTCCACAGTGAGAGGAGGAGTGCTTTATCTGGAAATAGTTCATAGAAAAGGTGGTATTTGGGCTGGGTGGTGTTCCACAGGAATTGGGACAATGATGAGTAGCCTTCCAGGCAGAGGAAACAGCTTATGCAGTGGGTCAAAGACAAGAAAGCCTCCCCATATCTCAACCATGGCATCTCTTCTCTTCTCCTAAAGGACAGAGATGAAAGAAAAGAGATCTCTTCCATCTGCATTGTATTTGCCAGCTGCACTTTGACGCAAAGTAATAATATTAATGACTACTGTTTTTGAGTAATTGTTATCTGGCAGTCACTGTTTAAGTGCTTCACATATATTGTCTCATCTCATTCACAGGAACTCTATGAGGTAGGTAAACTACAATTATCCCTATTTTACAAAGGATGAAATTGAGGACAGGTGGCACAAATAGAAGCTCTCTGATCTCTGTCCACCTCCAGATGATAGTGTCTGGAGTCAGTGAGTTGGATTTTCTGTTCAGATAGGATTGGAAGCAATAGGGCATCATAGTGTAGTGGTTAAGTATGCAGACTCTGGAGCCAGACAGGATTTACATACCACATCATCACTTACCAGTTTTGTGACCTAAGACAAGTTATTTAACTTCTCTGGTCCTCAGTTGTCATGGCTAAAAAAATGAAGGTAATGATAATATTCTACATCCTAGAATTATTATGTGGATTAAATAAGTTAATACATATTAAGTACTTAGAACAATGCCTAGCACATGAGTTCTCAGTGTTAGCCCAAAAAAAACCCAAAAAACAAAAAAACAAAACTTATATCAGCCAGGACTCTAAAGGCATAAGTGACAGAACCTTAGCTTAAACTAGTTTAATCAAAAAAGAGAATTGGCTCCACTTAACCA